ACCGAACATAGATTACGAATTATGACACTCATCCTATTGATCAAACACCGACATCTTTAAATCTGTAAATATTCCCCAATGCATCATTTCCAGTGTGTGCGAGCACAGTTCTTCTCCAGACTCACTGTTCTGGATGATGTCCTGCATCTTCTTCCAGACTCTGAAGGGCAGGTTGCCCAAGTAACGCGGCATATCAATCAAAGCTCCAGAAGACATCTGTGGATCCGGCTGTGAGATCTGGACTCTGGAAGAACATTCAGAATCAGAACTGCAGTGGCTTTGGATCAGAAGCAGAGAGAGCAGAGACAGCAGCAGATCACTCACCTTTCCATTGAGACTGGAAACTTCTGCAGATCAAACACACAGTTTATCATCAACAACTCAATCAATCAATCAATCAATCAATGATCTGAAATCAGACCTTCAGAAAGCAGATGTCACTGGCTTTCATCATCTCCTCTGAGTCTTTAATTGAGTGTGAAAGAGCTGAGATGAGACTGTTGATCTTCTCCAGCTTCACCTTCATCATCTGCTTCTTCTGCTCCTCTTCCTCTCTCAGTGCAGTGATTGTAGCTTCTTCTTCATCTCTGAGAAACTGATGAAGCTTCTCAAACTGCTGTTTAATTTGACGCTCTGTGTGATCAGCTTGAGACTGAAATCAAACCACATTCACTTTATCTCAAACACACATCAACACATCATTCATGATAAACTCAAAACAAAAACAAATGTTCTTTTGATGTCTCTCTTAACTGAAACATCAAAAAATACTGTTGTGTAACTTGTAAAGTAAACCAACCAAGATCCTTTCTCAGATAATATTCAGACTTATATTAGTTTGTATAAAACAATTCTCATTTGAAGCTTGGTCCACTCCTCTTCAATGGCTGTGCGAATTAGTACATAGAAAAATTATTAATTAAATAATTGAATTCCCATAAATGGCCCATTAAGGCTTTAATTTGGTCTGATCTGAAATTAAACTTGAAATTAAACACACTTGAGTGTCAAATAATAGATCCTGAAAATTCAGCTTTGCTGTCACAGGAATACATTTGCATTTTAAATTTGATTGTAATAATACTTCATAATATTATTATTTTTTAAAAACTTTATTTATTATTTTAATCAAATAAATGCAGCCTTGGTGACTTTTCTTTTTTTTTTGGTTTCTGAACTTAATGGGTACACTCACCTTACATAGTGCTGATTACTTGTCCTATTTATTTAACCAGGGGTTTAACAGTAATAAACTGAAATACATCAAATATAACAAATCATAATTGTGTATAGTGACCTATAATGTATAAATGATCCTACACTTGTGATAAAAATTTATTTTACTCCTGATTCGGTTTCCTTACCTTGATATGTTGAACTGTTTTCTCAAACTCTTCTCTCATTTTCACTCCTTGTGTAATTTTCATTCGTAAGGACTTCAGTGTTGTTTTGAGCTCCTCCTAGAATTTATCAAAAATGTTTATTATGTATTGTTGTTTACATATGAATCAAGAGACATTTGTCTTACCTTATATGATGAAACCGTTTCACTGATGGGTCTGAATGTGTGATTGACGTGTTTCTGTGAATCTCTGCACACTAAACACACCGGCTGTTTGTCCTCCAGACAGAAGAGTCTGAGTTTCTCACGGTGCACACTGCAAGAAGGCTCTTCAACAGAGCGTGAATCCATTTTCACTGTTTGCACAAGCTTCAGAAATCTAAACATTACTTCCTAAATGTTACTTTCAAAAATTAATAATCACGAGAATCACAAAGATCTTCTGTCTGTTCTTAGATAAAGTCCTCAAAAATCCTTTTTGAAAGTGTTTGTTTTCATTCTCCATTGATTGCTGATTGCTATCTGACTGCATACAGATATTATAAAAAGCCTCAGAATGGAGAGAAGTGAGACAGTCTCTTCCTGGTAAGTGTTTCAGGAGGGTGGATCAGTTTAGATATGTTGTGCAGCAGGTCAGACAGTAACACCAACTGCACACAGTGAAAATGACTGTAATATGATAACTGGATGTAGCGCAGCATGGTTTGAAATCAACAATTTAAAGTTTGACCAGTGACTGGTCATACAAGGTATAAAGAACAGAGTGATGGACTTTTTATTAACAATCAAAAATAAAACAAAACACTACCCTGAAGGGAAGAACACAAAGTCTGCAGAGCAGACAACGATCAATGACAGAGAGCACAGGTAGAATAAGTAGAGAAGGAAATTAGGAGGGTAACAAGGAGGGTATAGCCCTATAGTTTCTCATGGAGGTCTGTTAAAATAAAGTTACATGGCAACTAAGTCATAAAACTCATGGGTTCGGATATCAATTTATTCACAGCGGAGAAACAAGTTCTATCAAAAGTTTTGAAAAGGTACTGCCCCAGTGATAGCTTTTGTACCTTTATTTCTGAGAGTGTGGGGGGTCCTGGATCCCCCCAGACCCCCTCAATTCAAGCACTGGAAGCAGTCTTTGATTTGCTCAGTCATTTTGACACTGGCAAGACCAATGAGGCAGACCAAACTTAAAAATTAACTTTTAAACTTTTTGTCATCCTAACAACATGCAGAGCGCAGCTCACTGAAGAGCAGCAGAGCAAAATAAAGAATATCAAATACTGGGGACCGGTTATTCGTAATGTTTGTTGATATTGTACTAATTTAAATATGGCCGGGAGGGCAAAAAGAACATTGTAGTATCCTCACTGTGAACATTTGTATTGCTAATCTCTCCCTTACTGTGATCACAACTAATATTCTGTTTAACTAACGGAAACTTAGTTTGAAAACGAACGGTGACAGAGCTTTTTCTGTCACTGCCTCCCATCTGTGGAACCAGTTGCCTCTGGATATCCGCCTTGCACCTTCCCTTACCATTTTTAAATCGAGGCTGAAAACTTACCTCTTCTCTTTAGCATTTTAATCTCACTTTATTGTTGTTTCCTTGTCCGTCTTGTTGGGAAAAATGAATGTACAATTTGAGATGTAAATTGATGCAAATCACTTTGCTGAATTTGTTTCCTCAAGAGATGCAAATTAGGATATTTGAACATAAATTGGAGTGAATGTGTGTGTGTGCGTGTGATATAAAGCTCTGAGCTCTGAGAACACACCTAAATGTAAAGACAGACACTAGAATGATGCCTCACCCACAGTGACGCGATTCTAAATTGGACACATCATTGTCATCAAACCCCATAAGCAAACATACTGTACGGACAACATAGAAAGCAGAGAGTAGGCTAGAAATTTGTCATAGTGGAAAAGGTAAGTTTCACAGTATTTTAAGAGAATTTCATTATTAGTTAAACTAGAAATTTAATTCTTAGTTGTTCCTTCAAATTGACTGTCAATTTAACATGTTGATTTTGTGTTTAATTGTAATGAAAATACTGTAAAATCTATTTTCCAAAAATACATATGGGCCAGGCATAAACTAATGTTTTTGTTTACTTGCTCAACAGAGGATTCACATGCAAATGCTGCAATAATGGAATCTTCGAAAGAGCAAACTCTTTGCTTTGTCTCATGGAATATATGTGGACAAAAAACCCCAAACATTGACCATTTCTCAAAAGAGCAACAGGCAGAAATTTTCTTTTTGCAAGAGACATATATTGGACCTGAAAGTGACCTGCATTTAGAAAAGCCTAAAGGCTGGCAATCTTTTTTTACAGTCTATGATTCCAAAAGCAAAGGAGTCGCCATCCTCATAAAAGATGGTGTACCTTTTCAGTACTTATGCCATGATGAGGATTATAATGGGGGGTATCTCGTACTCTTCTGTCATCTTCATGGTGAACTGTTCACTCTTGTTAATGTGTACAATCACAATGATGACAAAGAAATGCTGAACAGACTGCAGGAATACCTGAGGGAAGTGTCAGGGGCTGGCGTCTGGTGTTCTCCCTCTCACCACCAGAGGTCGCCATCTCCCATCCTCCCGGACTCTTTCTCCGGCACCTTGACACCACACACCTGGGCACCCACTCACACACACACACAGCTGTCGCCCATCCGGGACTCCATCACCTGCACTCCACACACCTGTGCACACTCACTCTCACACAGCTGTGGCCCGTCATGAGGACTATTTAGGCGCCTTCCCCACGCCACTCGGTGTCGGATGATTAATGTTGGTAATGTTTGTTTCGGTGACTGATGCCAGCCCTACGTGGCCGTATGGTGTCAGAGTCTTCTGTTCCTTGCCTGTGTCTCAGAGTCTCAGGTCTGTTTATGTTTCTGTTTTTACTTTGTTTTCCCCAGCAGTGAAATAAAGCCTGCATTTGGACCCTAACCCACGTTCACACGGTGTGATTCCTGACCGCGCCGTGACAGGAAGCAGCTGAGGGTGTGCTTGTGGTTGGAGGTGATTTCAACACAGTTCTCGACCTTAGCTGTGATCGAACATCTAAAGGAGTCAAAGTACAGCATACACCACAGTGGGGCCCATTTAAAAGATTCACTGCCTCTCTAAATCTTATGGATACTTGGGCATACTTCCACCCAACAGTCAAGGCATTCACATATTGTCAAAATGACAGTTATTCTAGATTAGACATGTTTCTTCTGTGTGAAGACAATTTGGAGCGAATAAAACATCCAAGAAGCTAAAAGGACTGGGGATCAAATAAAGAGGGGTATGAACGAGACTGTTCAAGATCATTTGCTTCTACTGATATGTCTCAAAGTGAATAAAGTACCAAATGTCGCTTCACAAACAGAGCAATTCCCTGAACCAGACAAAAGAGCAGGAAAGATTAATGGCGCAGAAATACTGAGTGTGATCAAGTCTTTAACTGACTCTGGGCACAAAGGGCCTAATGGCATAAGTGTACAAACATACAAGAATTTCTGTTGTCAATTCACAGAGATCTTAAAAACGTGTTTCAACTGTTTGATGAAATCCTACAAATTACCTCCAGATTTCAATGCAAGTATCTCTGCATCAGGTGGCAGAAAACATTTCAATGTGGATTATTTAATTTTCACTATGATTCTGGCCAAACGCCTCAATGTGCTACTGGATGAATTCCCAGAGGAAAGGAGCCAAAAAAACATCTATGATCTGTGTTACTGTGTAAAATTGGAAGAAAAACCAAAGAAAATCAAATGGACCTTCTTAAAAAACAGCCTCTCATACCTACTCACAAAAAGTGCAGAAAAGACACAAAATGAGTCTGAAAAAGAGTCTCAGAAAACATCTAAAAAATCAAAAATAATTATCACCCTCCTTAAAGGTTTAATTCCTATGGAAACAGAGGACAACAATATTTTAGAAGATATTATCCCAAAAGCTTCAGATGACTTCAGAGAGCTACAAGATGAGTGTCCCCTCACTAGGTCCATCCTCGGTTTGGTCCTGAAATATCTGGAGCTCCGTATAAATGAGAAATATGAGAAATACACAACTCATGTCTGCCACTCTAGACAAGTTGTAGTCATACATGAAAACAGTTCTCCTGACTTGAAATGTCTGTGTGAGGAGTTCAAGGGAAACTCTGGGATTGAACTAATATGTTTTCAGTTAGAAGCTATGAAATCTCCAAACCTGTGAAAACCCTGTTCATGCATGTATTTATGAATTTGTAAGAATGTGTAATTCTAGTTGTTTGTCAGAGTCATTTATATATTGTTAAATATCTCGGCACATTTATTAATTGAAAAATGAAAGCAAACATTTTTGTAAACAAATTATTATCTATTGTAATATATTTGTCCACAGGTCTTGAAAGTGTTTAATTGCATGCTAAATTGCAGGATAAATACTTGGATGTTCTTATATTGTTGTATACTTTATCGTGTATTGTTTTGTTTTATTAACTTGTCACAATCTTCTTCAGAATTATTCAGTGTAACTGAGATTTGTTTAGAATAATAAAGTACTATAAAGTGACAATAAACAAGATTTAAAATACTGAAATAGTGTTGTAGTTTTCAGTTTTGTTTAAAACACTACACTACATACATAAAAACACCTCATATTGTTGAATCCAGTACATTAATTACAGGAAATGATTATATTACAATCACATAAAATTAAATTTTCATTAAAACACAACATATTCAATTCTGGTGAGTACAATTATTGAATGAACTAAATGAGTGGTATTGATTCATTTAGGCCTACTGTTAAATATTTGGCATATTTAAGCATTAATAATAAAGTTACAGCAGTTCATGGATCATTACAATGGATGAAATTAAATCACCCTTGACAACTCTAGTAAAGTAAATCCTGCGTTTCAAATAAAAGAGCCAGTCACAAATTGGAACAGTCACTGCCACTTTACATGAAATTTGGGCGCCCAAGTCCTGCTCCTGGAGATCTACCTGTTCAGTTCTGTCCTAACCCTGCTCCAACACACCTATAATTATCAAGCGTTCCTGAAGATATTAATCAGCTGGTTCAGTTGTGTTTGATCAGGGTTGGAGCTGAACTATGCAGGGAGGTTGCACTGATGCTCACAAAAGCGTACACAGTCGCTTTCGTGTGAACGATGGTTTTTTGCTTTGCAATAATAAAGAGAAGGAAGTTAAAGAATGACTAAATTATGGGAAGTGGTGTGTCAGTTTAACCATATTCAGTCTAAATTTATGTTTGTACTATTTGTACAACAAGAATTCTATAGAGTCTGTTGCATTTGATAAATGTCTGATTCCACAGAATACATATGTAATCGTTTTATATCTCATCTTATATCTTATATTTATCTATATTTTTAATTAATTTATTAGCAGGATCAGATTCAACAGTGATTTTCTGTTGTTAGTGTTTAACTGGTAACTTCCTCAGTTAGGTTATTTTATCAAGATTACTAAACAATGGAAAGACAGTGTCAGTGAAGGTGGTTGTGAATGTGTGTAGATGTGTGTTAGTTACAGGATCAGAGAATGACACTGTTCCTCTGTCACAGTCCAGATCAACTGTCAAACACTCAAGAACCTGCTCAACAGGAAAACCAAACCTTTCAGCCAGTCCATACTGATCATACCACACACTCCAGACATCAAGTCAAGTCAAGTCACCTTTATTTGTATAGCGCTTAATACAATACTGATTGTGTCAAAGCAGCTTTACATGGTCAAACAGGAAAATAGTTTGTCAATGCAGATAGATAATTAACAATAAGAGTAATTTTTCCAGCTAAAGTCAGTTCATTGATGATTCAGTGATCATGAATCATCCAGTTCAGCTCTCTTCCAATAGTGTCTGTGCAATCAGTCACGTGTCCCTAACTAGGCAAGCCAAAGGCAACAGTGGCAAGGAACCAAAACTCCATCGGTGACAGAAATGGAGAAAAAACCTTGAGAGAAACGAGTCGGGGGGCCAGTTCTCCTCTGGCCAGACTAAACCAGCATGGCGTGGTTTAATTCCAGGCTGCTACACAGGTCAGATTGTGCAGAGGACTTGTCTGGTTCCCGTGGTCTTGTGCCGATGGTTGTCGAGTTGATGAGGTCTTTGCAGGGATCTGTCTCTGAGGCTCATCTAGTTGACATGGTCTCCGCTGACATTCAGGGCTGTAGAGGTCATCTCTAGGTGCAGATCTACCATCTGATCTGGATACAGACTGGATCTGGTGGCTACGGTGACCTCGGAATAAGAAAGAAACAGACTAATATTAGCGTAGATGCCATTTCTCTTACGATGTAGCGAGTACATCAGGTGTTATGGGAAGTGTTCCCGGTTCCAGTTGTCCTAATTAATGCAGCCTAAAAATCCTTTAACGGATTTGAATTATAGATATGTGTTAGTGTGTTATGTGTAAGCCAGGTTAAAGAGATGGGTCTTTAATCTAGATTTAAACTGACAGAGTGTGTCTGCCTCCCGAACAATGTTAGGTAGGTTATTCCAGAGTTTGGGCACTAAATAGGAAAAGGATCCGCAGTTGATTTTAATATTCTAGTTATTATCAAATGGCCAGAGTTTTGAGATTGCAGCGGACATGAAGGAATATAATGTGATATGAGCTCGCTCAAGTATTGAGGAGCTAAGCCATTCAGGGCTTTATAAGTAATTAGTAAGATTTTACAATGTACTTGTTGTTCAATAGGGAGCCAGTTCAGAGTTGACAGAACCGGGCTAATATGGTCATAGTTCCTGGTTCTAGTAAGAACTCTAGCTGCTGCATTTTGGACCAGCTGGAGTTTCTTTATTAAGCTCGCAGAGCAACCACCCTATCTAACCTTGAGGTCATTAACACATGAATTAGCGTTTCTGCTTTTGACATTGAGATGAGCATAGGTCATAATTTAGATATATTTTTAAGATGGAAAAATGCAGTTTTACAAATGCTAGAAACATGGTTTTCAAAGGAAAGATTGCTATCAAATAACACACCTAGGTTCCTAACTGATGACGAAGAATTGACAGAGCAGCCATCAAGTGTTAGATCACCATCTGATGAAATACTGTGGCTGACGGCTGCATGGTTAGAATTTTATCTCTAATAGTATTGAACAAAAATGTTGTCGTCGTCATCATCATCATCATCACAACCACTCTGACAAGTGAACCAGAATTTCATATAAATCACAATGGTAACGCTGAATGCAAATTACTTTTAATTATTACTTTAAATTAATTATTACTTGCTATATTTTATATGCAATTTATATGCTATATTATATATATGCTATATTATATATATATATATATATATATATATATATATATATATATATATATATATATATACTGTATATATATATT